TGTATCTTCTATTGGAGATGCTCTAACACAAACCATCAACTCAATATGTGGATCAGAGAGCTCTTTAAACTTCATAATTTACAAAGGAAAGCCCACTATATATTCATATGCTTTCTCAAAGTCAACTTATATAAAAAAACACTCCAGATTGTTTATCAATAGACACACGATGTACAACTTCATGCAAGGTGAGAATGTCATCCATGATATTTCCACCTATCATGAAAAGTAGTCCATGATAGATCGATGATCTCCTCAGCACAAACATTCATTCTATTATTAACATATTTCGTAAGTAGCCTGGAACCAAAAATGAGGAAACATATAGGGCTAAACTTTATTTACGGGAACATATAGGGCTAAACTAAAGGATCTTATTAGCACCAGGTAGTTTTGGGATAAGAGGAATGGTTCCATAATTTAATCTATTAACATTAAGGTTTCCTTGACAAAAATCAAACATTTCTTCAAAGGATGTTCAACTATGTCGCCAAAACGTTGATAGAACTCGATTGGAATCCATCAGGGCCGGGATCCACACAAAAAGAGGACTTTAATTTCTTCGAGAGAAAGTTCATCCACAATAATGTTGTTTATATCATGCCAATGACATGATTAAACTAAAAGTTAGCATCAAAGATACTCCTTTCTACAGGTCCAAAAAATATTTTATAGATATGTTTCATAAGACGCTGCTCGTTAACCATACCCAGCTCAATCACCGTCGAAGACCGCAATGAGGAGCCCTATGATGATATCGACTCATCTCCTGTGGTGGAGGTGGCAACTCACGATGCACCTAGTGACAATGTTGTGGATCCGCCACACCGACGAGCTTGGCCTTCGTTTACCCTAGCTGTGAGGAGATGGCGGATGCGAGGACGCTAGCGGAGGAGGAGGCTTACAATAGCCAACAACTACGACCTCATGAGAAGGACAAGCACGAGTACAGAGGAGAATGACCCCATGATGATGACGTCGTCATCATCTCCTCCCACCCCGAGGACGAGGCCTAGGGGTGGCCGAGAAGTTTAAGCTAAGCTAGCTTCACTGTTCATGTCAGTGCTATGCTTAATCATAGCACTGTTTAGGAGATCTTTTGTCTGAGCTATGTGATTAACTCGAAATTTAAGAAGTTGGTAATTTTTCTTAAAACGAAACAGTAAAACTGATTATAAAGTTTATGTGACCGACCAAGTTGAATATTTCATATGGATGCACAATGTGGGAGAAATGCAATTCGAATTTTCATTTTGGGATATTTTTGGGTTGGATTAGAGCATCTCCAGCTGCGCCCCGAACATGCCCCCAAGGCCTTTTTCATCACTCGCGCCGAATTTCGGTCGAGTCGCGCCCCTAGAAGCCCAGTTTTCGCTGGTTAGGGCTGATTTTAGCGCCGGTGGACCCAGGCCGAACCCGGCGCGCTGGAGGCCCCCGGGGGCGCCGGGGGAAACGTTTTGGGCGCGAAAAGGAATAGGTCCACTGAGTTAGCTCATTGCCTTGGTTCTCGCGGGAATCAATGCCAAGGCTGTCGCGCTGCTGCGCCGATCAACCTTCCATTGATGCCTCACGGACGATGCAGTGAAGGCGCGGCGACGCGCGTCTCACCCGCTCCCGCCACGCGGCACACGGCGGCAGCTCTCCCACCGCCCATTTGTGGCTATAAAAGTCGTCCTCCCTCACCGGCGAACGCACAAAGCTCTCACCACCGACGCCTTCTCTGTACCTCTCGCCCCCGATGCCTCTCCCTCCCACTCCCTCCCCCGCCGAAGGCAACGGCCGAGCGCTTTCCAGGTGACGGCGCAGCAGTGAACGACTTTGACCGCCGCCATCTGTGCGAGGATGAGGCACGCCTCCTCTACGAGGGGGAGTACCTGGCGCCCCCCCGGGCATGTGGGTGCCGGGTACCTGGAGGCTCAGCACCGGTGGGGTCCCGGTGCCGCCCGCGCCCACCGGCTCGCCGGCGCTTCGCCCCGTCAAGCCGGAGCGCAGGATACGCTACTTGGGCGCAGCACCCGCGGCGGCGCTCTCGTCATCAACGAGAGCGGCCGCCCCCCTCCTCGTTCCTACCACCTCGTCCGCCCGAAGACCGAGCCGGGTTTGCTCCCCGTGAAGAAGGAGCACCTGGACATGGCCGCCGCTGACGAGACCGCCCTCAAGTTGGCATAGGAGGACTACATCCACGAGAAGATGGAGCGCCAGCGCTGGACCTTCGAGGAAATCAAAGCTCGGCGCCGCAGACGCGAGGAGGGCGGCATGGTCGTCCTCGACAGCGACGACGAGGATGTGCCCGGGCCGTCCAACCCCCCGCACATCAGCGGCACTGGTTAGGGGTGCAGTAGGGACGATGGCAGGACCCAGCACGACGGCGACGGTGGCAACTACACCCGATTCTACAGGCTCATCGGCATGTTGAAGACGGGCGGCGGCGATGGCTAGGCACAGTCGTTTTTAGTTTGTGTTTTCATTTGTGTTTTTAAGTTTTTTGTAAAATATCAATGAAATCGTCTAGTTTGGGTGAAATTGAGTCATGTTTTGGCCGATTTCATGTTTCAAAAAAGGGCGTCTAGGGCCGATCTAATGGCGGTGGCTGGGAACCGATCGTCCCCACGTCGAGATTATCACAGGTTCGGCCTCAAGCGACGTTATTTTAAGTGCATGGGGCCGAACGACTGGAGATGCTCTTAGAATGCAGCCTCTCAAAAGTCAATACCCGGAGTATTTTTGGAGCAGGTTTTGGGACGTTAACAACGAGGAGGAGGTTAGGGCATCTCCAGCCGTTGGCCCCCCCAGGGGGCGTCTAAAAGCGCCGCCTGGGGGTGAGCCGGCGCAAAAAATGGCCCTGGGGGCGAGTCAGTCCCCAGCTGTCGGCCCCCAGGCGCGTATTAAAAAAAAGAAGAACCGTTCGGCGAAGTTATGATAAAAACTAGTTAAATTTCGGCCAAACATGACAAATTTCGGCAAAATTCGGCCAAACATTACATTAACCTAATCTAAAAAAAGAAAGGGGCTGAAGTCGTCGCCGCCGTCGCCGCCATCGTCGTCGTCGGCCTTCTCCTCCTTGACGCGGGCGCCCCTGCTGGACCCCTGCCCGGCGTCGCCATGGCGGACTGGCGACGGCGCGTCGTCGTCGTCGTCGCTATCGCATAAGACGACGACCCCGCCTTCCTCGCGGTCGCGTCGGCGCTCCTCGAAGCGGCGTAGGGCGGCGCACTGGCGCTCCTTCTCCTTCTCTCGGCGCGCCTTCTCCATCGCAATGGAGTCCTGGCGCGCCTATTTTAGGGTCGCGTCGTCGCCGTTGAACTCCGCCTTCACCGGCGCCAGTCCCGGCTCCGTCTTCACCGGCGGCAGCCCCGGCTCCGTCTTTGACTTGACGAAGCGCGGAGGAGCCGACGAGGAGGAGGCGCGCCGGCCGCCCTCGTTGATGACGATGCCGGCACTGCGAGTGCGCCGGCCGAGCGGCGTCTCCGCCGCGGGCTCGGCCTTGACGCCGAGCAGGGCCGGAGTGCCGGAGGAGTGCGATGAGGATCGGGAGGAGGAAGAGGAGGAGGAGGACCCGAACCTCCTTGGCGCCCATGGCCCGGCGCGTCGGTGCTGCGCCGGGGCGGCCACCCTCGCCGGGGGGTACGCCAACGGCGGGTCGTTGCCGCCCTCGAGGTACGTGAGCACGCTCTCGAGTGTGCGGCCGGGGACGCCCCACCAGAGGTGGCGCCCCTCGCTGTTCTGCCGGCCGCCGACCACCAGAGCGCCGTTGGTGGACGCCAAGCGCTGCTGCTGGCGGCGCTCGAAATACGCCGCCCATGCCGTGTGGTTGTCGGCAGCGTACTGGGGGAGGGAGAGTTGGGCGTCGGTGAGGGACGCGCGCACGATCTCGACTTCCTCGACGAAGTACTTCGGCTTCGCCACGACGTCGGGCAACGGGGGAATGGGCACTCCCCCGGCGCTGAGTCTCCACCCCGTCGGCCCGGCGCGCATGTCCGGCGGCGCCGGGATGTTTGCCTGAAACAGGAGCCAGGACTCCTGTTCGCGGAGCGAACGGCGGCCGAAGCCGTTGGCCGCCGCCTCGTCTCCGGGGAAGCGTTCTGCCATGGCGACGGCGGGGCTAGGCGGGCTCGGGAGAGGTAGAGGGAGGGGCTGGGCGGCGGCGCTCGGGAGAGGTAGGGA